TGTAAGTGCACCATGTCCTGCAGTGTCTGTGGAAGTCAGAAGAGGGCGTTGGATTCCCCTGGAACTGGAGTTATGAACGGTTGTTAACTGCCATGTGGGTGCTGGAAATCGAACCTGGGTCCTCTGCAAGAGCAGTCAGTGCTTTTAACCACTGAGCCATCTCTCCAGCCCCATCCTCAGGGCTCTTATGGTCATGAGGATCCCGTCCACTCATAGGCTCAGCCTCTACTCAGAAGGAACGACACCCAAACCCTTGACTGCATACTGCTTGCTGGAAGGTTCCCCAAGCGTCACGCTAGGCCTCCTCGGGGTACTTCAGGACGCTAGGCAGGTGCACCTCCATGGCTTCTGTGGCTGTGACTTGTGTATGGCTGGTCTCACTGGGCCAGAGCTCTGTGACGGGGACCCTCACGTTTCTCATCGCAGTGCCTTGCTCTGCATTCACTGGTGAGGTATCTGAACCTGAACTCCTCCTCTCCTTCAGCCTGCTCCTCCTTGCTTAGCCCAGTCATCCTCCCAACTCAGGCTCACACCGGAGTCATGGAGGGCTTCTCCTTCCCCACTCGCACTACCTGTTACGTGTGACATCCTCCTGTCCCTTCAAAGACCTCAGGATGTTCCCTTTATTGTCTATCTTGTTTGTTTGTGGGTGTATATAGGCAGAGGTGTGTATGTGCAAGGGGGCATATGCAGGGGTGTACAGATGTGCGTGCATCTTTATGTGTAGAGGCCAAAGGTCATCAACCCTGATTACTGTTCTGCCGCTTAACAACTATTTTATTTATTTATTTATTTATTTATTTATTTATTTATTTATTATTTATTTAATTTATTTATGTTGTGTGTGTGTGCGTGCGCACGCAGGCACGTGCCACAGTGCCTGTGTGGACATCAGAGGACAATCTGTGGGAGTCAGTTCTCTCCTTCCATTATGTGGGTCCTGAGGATTGAACTCAGGTTGTCAGTTGTCAGCTTTGCTGGCCAGCAACGACTTCTTCTGTCCTGTCCACTTTTTTCTTTTCTTTTTAATATATTTTATTATTTTTATTTTTTTTGTGTATGACTATATTGCCTGCATGTATGTAAGTGCACCTGTGTCATGCAATGCCCAAGAAGATCAAAGGAAGGCATTGGATTTCTCTAGAACTGGAGATATGGATGGTTGTTAGCTGCCATGTGGGTGCTGGGAGTCGAACCCAGGTCCTCTGCAAGAGCAGCCAGCGCTCTTAACTGCTGAGCCATCTCTCCAGCCCTGACTACTCTTTTCTAAGACAGTGTCTCTTACTGGGATCTGGGGCTCCCTGATCAAGCTAGTTGGCTGACCAACAAGCTCCAGGGACCCACCTGTCTCTGCCTTTTCTCCACCTCCCCAGTGCTGAGATTACAAACGTGCCCCACCACACCTGACTTTTTATGTGGGTGCTAGGGATCGAACTCAGGTCTTCATGTTTGTAAGGCAAGCACTTTATCCACTGAATTATCCCCTACTCCTGTCTCCACCATGCCCGCCTTTTAATGCTATTGGAGTTATTGGGACTTCAGTAGAAAGTACACATGTTGGAGTTGGGTGAGTTTAAGGTCCACTCTGCTACATTTTAGTTGTATGGCAGAGGAGGTTACAATTTGGATAATGGGAAATCCACACACGATTTAAGGAGCTCCAACAATGTAGGGGCCAAAAGGTGCGACCTCTTTTCTTGACTCTCATAAGGGTATTAACGCATGCATCTGGTATGATAGGTTAGCAAGAGGAAAGCACGCTAAAGCATTGTGACAAGAGGAGCCTTCAGAAATGATGACCCAAAGGCCCAGTCTGTATCCATTTTTAGGCTTAGATTTTACAAAGAAAGAATGGCTGGGTGAAATGTGACTGGACAGAGGGCGCGACCTAATGGGCACAGACTGCCAAGCTCTCGGCCAGGCCCAGCCAATGTCCTCGGGACCTTTCTGTATGGGTAGGATCTCTCTTGGAATAGCTTTATGACCTGTCGGACAACACAGGTCAGATCATTCCTTTTTTCTTCAGGCAGGGTCTTACTAAGTAGCTCTGGCTGGCCTGGAAGTTTCTATGTAGATGAGACTGGCTTGGAACTCAGAGCTCTGCCTGCCTCTGCCCCCCAAAGGCAGGCTGCATGTTCCACCATTCCCAGTGGTCAGATACTTTATAATCAGCTTTTGCATGGAAAAGTGGAGGGAGAGAGTATTTCAAGTTTTATGGATGGCCTTGTGAGGAAGGGTCCTAACTGGTGAGGAGGAGGAGGAGACTTCTGGCGTTCTCTGGGAGAACAGGGTGGAGGACAGGAGGCCAAGAGAACTGCAGAGACTTGAGACCCGTCTGTCTCCTTCAGTTTAAAGCACTCAGCAGGCCAGAGGGCCTTTGGGTCATCATATCTGGAGCCCCCAGCAGGATTGTTGGTGTTTGGAAAAGGGGCAGTTAACACGTTGTGGGGATTCAGCTTGGGTCCGAAGCACTTTCCTGGTTTCCCTCTTCGTAGCTGTTCCCAGGGTAACCGCCACAGAAATCTCAAATCCCTGGCCACTCTTTCTGCTCTTTCTTCATGCACGTTCCCTCACACTTGGTGCTTTGCCACCCCCAACACTCAACTCTAGCACATACCGTATTTTCTGGCTTCCCAGCCTCTGGCTAAAGTGGTGTACCTACCAAGTTATCTGTCAGTTTCCACCATGGACCACTCAGCCAGCTTGCTCTCTCCCTCCCGGGAGCCTTCTTTCTTCCTATTTTGATCCCACAGGCCCCACTGTGTGGTTAACTCTGCATGCCTTCCATCACCTGGGTACCAGTCAGGGTCCCGAGGCAGAATCCGCATTTGTCTTTGGGTTACATAATGCTCATCTGACCTACAATGGATAGTTCCAGATCCTTTTCCTATTCAGTCAGAACCTATCCTCACCCCAATCCCCAGGCTGACCCTCTTCAATCTCTAGCTTCTTTCCAACTGTTTCTCAGACTGAGCTCCAAAGTACCCTGTCTTCCCCATACAGCCAGGCCTGAGGGCAGAGATGGGCACATTTCTATAGCCCCTGCTTCATGGCTGGCACCGAGCACTCCCCCTAGCGCCCCGCCCCCTGTGGTGGACAGGATGCCCGCCGCCTGGCACCAAAGGGTCAGAGGAAGCCAGGGCCTCTTGGGCTCAGTATTTTTATCAGCCTAGGAAATGAGAGACACAGAAGCGGAAACCATGTGGTCAGAGAAAGTGAACAGCCTTCATCTTGGGGAACCCCCACCAGGGCTGGGGGCCAGACACCAGGGAGGGCTGTTGAGGAGGGAGGTCTGGGGGCCCAGTTATCATGGCTTATCTTACTTTGGTTTTATGTAATGCCTGCAGGAAAGGAAACAATGTGCTTTAAAAACGAGAGAAATCTGGGAGAGGAGCAAGTGCGGGCACCAGAGCTCTGCTCACCTCCCAGGCCAGCCTGAGGGTCCAGACCCCCCTCCCCTCGCTCCCCTCAACTCCCAACCTGCCCTCTTTGCATGCCACTTCCGAAATCTCCAGCCTGTGAGAGGAACCGGACGCCTGGGTTGCTCACAGCTCCAAGGCTCTTCTCTGAATCACGGCAGCTTCCTCTCACAGATCGCATCAGCCTTCCCTCCCACCCTGAACATCTGCCTGGTCCTGGGGGACGG